TTTCTCAAATATGTGTTGATGCACCCCCACTCATATGACATGCCTCTCATTCGAGCAATCCAAGATAAAAGTTGATTGGCATGGCATACATCCTTGTTAAGGACATGTTTAGTGCATCTAGTCACTCCTCATCTCTTTTAGGCTCATTTATGAAAATCAAATGAATTTAATGCTTTTATGGTACCAATATTGCTTCTATGCTTGACATGATCTAGTGGTAGCATATGACATTTATGGGTTTGTGAACCTAGTATTTGATCTAGAAAATGAGCTACAAGTGTTTAACTCAACATGGTACAAGATAACCCTTATTTGGAGACATAAAGAAGCTTGTCCTTGGATCAAACTAAGTTAAATATCTTTGGCAAGTGTTCTAGATTGGACCAAATTTGGGAAAATGATCCTCACCCCATTGATTGATATTGATAATCTTAACCCATCTAAAATTGAACCTTTATGGCCATTGATGACAAAGGAGGAGAAATTACACAAAGATAAGGTTAAATGACAAAGGGGGAGAACCTTGATATAGTGGAAGAGATATGAGAAAGTAAGGGGATCAATTAAAATTTTGAGTATACAAGTAGGGGGAGCAAGCTCATAAACTTGATTGGTGCATTTGAATGTGCATTTCATATGTTTGCTTGCATGGCACAAATTTTAAATTAAAAATTCCATGCTTGTGTGGTATATGTTAGTTGTAGGTTTGAATGACGAAATGAAAAACTAGCATGCATAGGTCGAGTAACTAGACTTGTGTTCATATTATGAAAACTAGACCCTTGCTTCTAATATTGATCTCATGGGGTATTCTAGTTTTTATGAATGTCTAGTTATTAATGGTGCTAAGGATGTTATAATGGTGCACTCCGATTGGTATCACGCTTTAAAGGTACATCTCTTATACCTTAGCATTATTTGGTAGACATTGACTCCTACATTTCCTATCTAAGCATATGTGCAAGCTTCAATCCAAACTCTTAGCACATATATAGGGGGAGCAATTGCTACCAATTGGGGTTCATGAAACTTGTTCATATCCTTTTACACATGGTAAATATGCTTGGGAAAGCAATATGGATTCAAATGAATTTCAATTCATATCTTTGTCTAAGGGTTATCATCAATTATCAAAAATGGAGAGATTAAAAGCTCTAGTTTGGTTTTGGTGAATTGATGAAACCCTAAGTGCTAACCTAGTTTATCAAAGTGATTATGAGATAGGTAGCACATTCCAAGTGATAGAGCAATGGTGAAGATCATGATGATGGTGTGACTATGGTGATGATCAAGTGCTTGGACTTGAAAAAGAAGAAAGACAAAACAAAAAGCTCAAGGCAAAGGTGAAACTTGATAGGAGCTTTTTGGTTTGGTGATCGAGACACTTAGCGAGTGTGGTCACATTTATGATCGATAGCTATACTATTAAGAGGGATGAAACTCGTATCAAAATGCGGTTATCAAAGTGCCACTAGATGTTCTAACTCATTGCATATGCATTTAGATTCTAGTGAGTGCTAACACCTTTGAAAATGTTTGTGAAAATATGCTAACACACGTGCACAAGGTGATACACTTGGTGGTTGGCACATTTGATCAAGGGTGACGAAGTTAGTGAAGTTGAGGGAGTCACTAGAACTGACCGAACACATGACCAGACGCTGGACCTGCACGTCCGGTCAGTGGTGTAAGATGTGATGCTGCTCTCAGTCTGTGATCAGACGTAGAGGAGAGCAAGAGACCGGATGCATAGGAGGGTGAGTCCGGTCGTGGTGACGTACGGTGACGTCAGTCGTGTTGTTTGGCGTGTAAAGGAGAAGAAGGACCGAACTCTGGCCTGAGTCCGATCACACTTAAGCGGACACGTCCAATAGCTAAAAAGTGACTCTGGATGCTTACTAGAAGTGACCAGACTCAGCTTGGGTGCGAGTCAGGTCAACTTAGTGACGTCAGGACTTGACGCGGGCACGATGCGTCCGATTCGCTTGCCTACGCGTCTGGTCGTGACTTAGGCGTTGCACTGAGTCACTTGACCATTGAGATCGTGCGGATATCATTGAATGCAGGGGACACGTGGACGATGATCAGTGACCAGATGCTAGGGCTGGTGCGTCCGGTCGATCTGACCGGCCCATCTAGTCACCTCGTAACAGGCTGCAGTGAGAGCCCAATGGCTCTTTCATGGGGGCTCTCTATTTAAGCCCCATGGCCAGCTCAAGCTCACTCTCTTGACCATTTGCATTGATATAGCAACCTTGTGAGCTTAGCCAACGCCCTCCCAGTCATCTCCATCATAGATTCATCATCTTTGTGAGATTGAGAGTAAATCCAAGTGCATTGCTTGAGTGATTGCATCTAGATGCACTTGGTATTCGTATTTCGTTGCAAGATTCTCTTGTTACTCTTGGTGGTTGCCGCCACCTAGATGGCTTGGTGCAGCGAGGATCATTGAGCGGAGGTTGGTGATTGTCTCCGCTCGATTGTGCTGATTGTGAGGGGTTCTTGACCTTTTTTAGGCGGAGAGCCAAAAGGTACTCTAGTGGATTGCTCATGGCTTGTGTGATCCTTATCTTGTGTTGGTTGGACGACACCCTATTGAGGGTTTGGCGTGTGATGCCAATTAGCGCGTGAACCTCCAAGTGAGTGAATCACCACAACGAGGACTAGCTTGCCGGCAAGCAAGTGAACCTCGGTAAAAAATCTTTGTCCTAAGATTTCTTGGTATTCATAGTGGTTGATTGGCTCCATCTTGTGATTGGCTCATACCTCGACACGTCGGTATAATCATCACCATCCCCTCTTGCATTTATATTTCTAGTGTTGCTTTGCTCTTTAGTGTAATTAATTTTAAGAGCAAGCTTGTGTCGGGGCTAGTGGTTAGTGTGGGTTTTTAGTTAGTTTTTGAGAGCACACTAACTTAGTATAGTGACATAGCCATTGTGTGCTTAGATATTATATTCATTAGAATTGTGGTAGGTGGCTTGCATTTTTAGTAGGCTAGCACAACATTCGCTTCGCCTCATATTTGTCTAACCGGTTTGTTAAGTGTTGTTGTAGAAAATTTTAATAGGCTATTCACCCCCTCTAGCCATTAGGACCTTTCACGTGTTGGGGATATGAGCAATATCAGGATCTGGGAGGACCCCTAGGTCGGTCATGGGCTCACTAGACGCCCTATTACTCCACGTGGGCTGACTTTGCTAACTCGCGTGGAGGAGCTTTTGGACTCGATGATGGGATGGTGGGACGAACAGCTTGTTTGGGATGTTTTTTTGGGAGGAGGACGTTATGCACATCTTGGCTACGCCAACGAACCCTCCTGAAGATCACTTTACCTGGCACTTTGATAGAAGGGGCTTGTTCTCGGTCAAGTCAGCATACCATGTCCTAGACGATGGCAAGGAGATGGAGCAGGTTCGCTAGGAGGGCAGTGTAGCTCGGGCAGCCTTGCTCTCGAGTGTGCAACCTCGTTCTGGCAAAGATTATGGAAGATATCATGTCCCCCGAAGCTGAAACATTTTCTGTGGCGGTTAGCGTGGAATAGTTTGGCACTAAAGATGAACCTACAGAGGCGCGGAATCAAGCTTGGCACACGTTGTCTAGTTTGCAATCGACTGGATGAAGATGGTGGTCATTGCTTCCTGAAGTGCAAGTTTGTAAAACACTCCTGGGCTGACTTCCAATTAGAACATGTTCGATTAGAGCTGCTACTCAAGAGCTCGGCATGGGAGGTGGTTGAAGCGGTGATACACCTGACGGAGGATGATCGACTGAATACAATAATCCTACTCTAGAAGTGGTGGAGCGTCCGAAACCAAATTGATCATGGCAAGCACGGTCTGTCCAGGGGAGAGGTTGTGGGTGCAGTCCTCAGCCTTGTGGGTGACCTTATAGGCAAGGAGAAGGGCATATCGGACCGAATACAAAGACCAGTGCAGCGCTAGCATGCTCCACCTCTGGGACAACTTAAGATCAATAGTGATGATGCTTTTGTTCAAGATACACACAAGGGCGGATGGTGTTTCATTGTTAGGGATCATCATGGTGAACCTACCATCGCTGGAGCAGGGGGACTGACAGCGGTACCGGATGTGTTATCAGCAGAAGCAGCGGCATGTACGAAAGCCTTGCAATCGGCAATGGATTATGGGATCTCTTGGGTCCAAGTCAAGGTAGATTCGGCGCTCCTTCAACAGGCGCTTCTCACGTCATCGATGGACCTGGCGGTTAGTGGTATGTTGATTAAGGATGCATGGGTCCTTCTTCACGAGCATTTCGTATGTGATGATGTTCTCCTTGTTCCTAGAATTTGTAATTCAATTGCGCATGCTCTAGCTAGCTTAGGGGTGAGTTGGGACCCGGATGAGTCACATGTCTAGACAAACCCCCTCCCAGAGACTATAAAGTGTTTGGTTTCAATAACAAGGCCGTAGAGCTAGCCGTTTCAAAAAAAATGGTCCTAGACTGCGGCCCATACGGCCATACTCACTGCTTGTAAAGCCCAGTTTGATAGAGCTCCCTAGAATCGGAGGAGCGGTACCAAACAGCGACGTCGCTCCAAACGATAGTCTGCTGGATGGAAGCGATTCAGGTTTTCCTACGGTTCCACTTCCCATCGATTCGCTCTGGATTCGATGGTCTCGACCCGGCCCCGCGCCTCTCTCCGTCGTGGCGTGGCCCGCCCGCGTCCCCTCTCTCCGTCGCGGAGGTTTGCCCACACGGCCCCACCGCACCGTCTGGAGACGAGCCAGAGCCGGAGCGAGTGACGTTGGAGTTGAGTGAGTTTGAACCGAGTGTAGCTGGAGCTGGAGCCAGAGCGGCACGAGAGCGCTACCAAACGGGGGCCTGCCACGTCACGTGGAATGCGTCATCAGTCCGACACCTGAGACCAGCGCTCCTGCTTAGACTTGCGGCTGTCTCTGTCATCGGCCACGCACGGCGGCGGAGCATAGGCATAGCAGCAAGCAAGCAGCGGAGACGCCGGAGAGCGGTGAGGAAACATGGAGAAGGAGCAGCTCGGCACGCTGCTCCGGGACCTCGACGCGCTCAAGCAGCATCCCGACGACCTCGCCTCCACCATCGATCGGGTAATCCCTCCCACCTGGCTGCACCATGGATCTCGGTAGTTTCTATAGCCATCTTCCCTTCTGCTGTGCCTTTCCAATTCCTGATCCCGGTTCATCTGATTGCTAGATGCGGGAGCGGTTAGTGGCGATGATGAATCCGGCCGCCGCCGGCGCCGCTTCTCGATCCAAGATTAAGGTACGATCTGAGGGCTGATTTCGGCGTTCAGGCGCTCTGGGCTGTGCAAATTGAGTGCCATAGTTTTGGACAAATCGTGAATTTTACTCTGTTTGCGCGAAATTGGGGATGCAGGACATGAGCGCGGAAGTGGTGGACAACAACCCCTACAGCAGACTTATGGCGTTGCAGCGGATGGGTGTAGTGGAGAATTATGAGCGCATCAGGGACTACTCCGTCGCCATCGTTGTAAGCATCCTTCTCACCTAATTTAGCATTGCTACTGTTCAAACATGGTTACATCAGCTCGGAATTTCGAAATTGGCATTTACTTCCATCCTTGAGTAGAGGGAGCCTCTCTCTCCATGGTATTGAAAATGTGATTTGGATATCACGAAGCTCAAGGGTCCTTTGGGACCATGCAAACTCGAGTATATTTATCTGTCTAGAGATCGATCTAGGTATACCGTGTATTATGTGCTGAATATTGGGAAATATAGTTACAATACCTGTTTAGAACAACCAGCTATCGAGCTATTGTTATTTCTGCATGTTGATATTAGTTTCAGCTTGATTTAGGACAACAGTTCAAAGTTGTAAAAACAAAGAGGTTGTAGCTTCATCACATCATGCATGAAAAGATAATTTCGCACATATAGATGGGAAAATTCAACTCAGAGCAAATCTTTCATTCATTGTCCTTCTCTTTACAGGGCATAGGTGGTGTTGGTAGTGTTGCTGCGGAGATGCTCACTAGATGTGGAATTGGACGCCTGTTGTTGTATGACTATGACACAGTTGAGTTGGCTAACATGAATAGGTTGTTCTTTCGTCCAGAACAAGTAAGCTTCCAGGACAGTATTTATTTTGTTGTTGTTTGTTTTACACCAAGACATTTTTCATGTTGAAGTACTTATGCTCACTGCTTTGCAAGACTGCAAGAACATAATTCAAATCAGATTGTGACTATATTCAGTCCATATACTTTGATAGGTTGGAATGACCAAAACAGATGCTGCTGTACAGACACTTTCTGGAATAAATCCTGATGTTGTGTTGGAGGTGAGCAACTATGCCCAGCATCAATATTCTCTGTTAGCCTTTTTTCCTACATCAGTAAACCAAATCATTTCATTAGATTCTGGGCATCATTAGTTTTTGGTAGAAGTGACAAATCTAGAGCATGCAGTTTTTGTTGAACTAACCATTCTTAATGTTTACTACTTTCCATTACTTACTCATCTTCCACTGTATATGTATAAAACTAGAAGTTTTTGTTGTACTGTTTCCTCTTTACTATCTTTATTACGTGCTCCAACTTGGTACATTGTCTTATGAGAGGCAAAATAGCAGGCATGATTTCTTTTTTTCGGCTGTATTGGATGGAGTAGCAATACCATTGTATTCCTTCTACTTATAAGAAAACCTATTCTAACATCTTTTTCTTCTGTAGAGCTACTCACTGAATATTACTACAGTCAAAGGTTTCGAAACATTTTTGGCAAGTTTAAAAGCACAGAGCTCTCATGAGCGTAGCACTGGAGTTGATCTTGTCTTGAGCTGTGTCGATAACTATGAAGCTCGTATGGTTGTAAACCAGGTGATTTGTCCACAGACAACTAAATTATTTGGTCCCTCCTTCACGTGCCTTATAATAACATTATGTGCATTGTTATGTATTATGGTGCAGTTCATTGGTGGGAATTTGCTTATTTGTTCTTTGTACCTGCTTTTCAGGCATGCAATGAGCTTGGTCAGACGTGGATGGAGTCTGGTAAGTTGTAAATTACATTTTTTGTCTCAAACTTGCATTTATTGACAGCAAAACTTTTCAGAAACCACATTCCTATTAATGATTAATTAACAATATGATTATTGCCTACTTTTCTTGTGTAATGCTGCCATTGTATCTCATTGTATACCCTAATCACACCTCAAATGTGTCAAGCAAGCTTCACTTGTACAGTGTTTTCTCCTTGTTTTATATCACTAGTCAGTATCCTTCAGCCATGATACTTGGTCATCAGTTGAACCTTGTGCATTGCTAATTTTTCAAGGCACACAAGGGAAACTGATTTTCTGTCAGGATCCTATTTTACTGCGTTACTGCTTAAATTTTGTAAGGATGTTCAACATAGTTATACCGGATTATGGATCAAAACAGATCTATGTTTCACATAATTGGTTTGGAAAACAGGATGTAATTGCAACCCACAGAAATACACACACAAGTTTAAGTTTTGAAGCTTACTGGATTACAGCCAATTTTTTATTGAACTCATAGTGATAGTGACGGTACAAAAGGCTGAGATAGCTTCTGACTATGAACAGGTGTCTCAGAAGATGCTGTTTCTGGTCATATACAACTGCTGGTTCCTGGTGAAACTGCATGTTTTGCATGTGCTCCTCCATTGGTATGTTCTTTTGATCTTATATTTGCTACTCTTGTTTAATGGTGTGCAGTGTGCTCTTGTGAATTTGATACTTTTAGATTGTGGATGTGTATTTCATATTGTCATTCCTACCATTTTCCGTGCTGAGATTTCAATGGTTATTCTGGCTTGACAGAGATGTCCCCTGTGAACTTCCATAATATTTCCTTTTCATTTCTGTATCACTTGTCTGTAATACCTTCAATTATAGGTTGTAGCATCTGGAGTGGATGAGCGTACACTTAAGCGAGAAGGTGTTTGTGCTGCCTCTTTGCCAACTACAATGGTGAGGCGTTGTTTTATCCTTTTACCATTTCTTTTGTACTATTATTTGCCACTGTCTCGATGCTTGAATCAGTGATGTTTCAATTATTCGTGTTGTGTAGTGCCTGGTAGCCTTATATGGACCAATGCATCTTTTCATTAGTTTTGAGACATCGTGATTTTATTGTGTGCTTTGCTTTTTCTCATTATATTAAGAAGAACAAAGGGAGTCTTGGAAGAAGAAGGGCAGGCCTGGTGTAGTGGTGAGAGCTGTCTCACTAAGTCACCAGGTCGTGGGTTCGAAGCAGCCTCTCCGCAGATTTTGCGGGGGAAAGGCTTGCCTCGGTTTTTCCTTTCCCCAGACCTCACTCATGTGGGAGCCTTTGGCACTGGGTCTGCCCCCTTTTTTTTAAGGCAGGTTTCCTTTCACTCTATAAAGCATGATCAACTGGGGAAAAAATCTGGTGTGGACCGTCCCTATGCGACGTCGTGCGGTCTGTGCAGCTGATGTGTGGACCACAATATCATCATCACCATCCAGCATGGTGAATCAGATGCCTCATGGGCCATGCGTCAGCTGTACGTCCGCAGTGTGTTTTCATGTAGATGGCCCTCACGCAATTTTTTCCATCAACTGCAATGTAACATGGAAGCTATATTTGTGTATAGTTGCCGTTTATATGTAATATCTACAGTATTTCTCAACATTGTTGGAAACAACTGTAATCTAGTGGATCAAACATTTCATGATTGTGTACTACCACTCTGAGGATGCATTGCAGTCTTTACACTTAGAATTCATCTTTCGTCTTCACCAGAAGTTCATACCTCCTCTCCCATTCCTTTTCTAGGTCTAATAAATATTGTTTTTGCAGGGTGTTGTTGCCGGTCTCCTGGTCCAGAATGCTCTGAAATATTTGTTGAACTTTGGACAAGTTTCCCCTTACTTGGTAATTATTTGATTTTAACTATGGCGTTGGTAATCCTGCAAACTTTTTGGAGGTTTCCATTTTCCCCTAAATAACCCCCCTCCCCCGATTAACTGAAGCTTAAGCCCACTCAGTTGCGGATTCATCCACAAAGTCTTCTCTTCTTTGGATTCTTCAGATTGTAAATACTGTTTCCTTTAGTTTCTTGCTTAAATGTGGTGCGTATGATATGCTCCCTCTGATTCGAAACATAAGTCCTTTAGGACAGCAACAGTCTCCACTCTTTTTTTCTCGAACACGCAGGAGAGCTGCGTATCATTGTATTAATAGAAGAAGAGAGAGTCATACATAGACCCAGACCCACACACACAAACACCCACTACTACAATGTGATGCTTTAAATAGTGCAAACTATATATCATGAAACCATTTTCCATGATAAATCTAGTAATCTCAACCATGTGCCAAGTTAAACTTTCCATATATAGATGGGCCAAGTTAAAAAAGTTTGACCGGATAGAATCCTAAAGCAACCTACATTTGGAACTGGAGGGAGTATATTTGTTAGGGTTAATACAAATAATTTTGGGCTTGAAAGGTTAGACCACCGTGTCTCATGTTGATCCAGTATATCCATCCCTACATTTCATATGAATGATAGTTTTTTTTGAAATCTTTTTATCTATTCATTCATGATTTGCAGGGATATAACTCACTTAAGGATTATTTCCCTGCAATGGAAATGAGGCCAAATCCACAATGCTCGAATCCAGCATGTGTTCAGAGACAGGTGTTTGTCTTCCCACAAATTATTGCTATGCTAAATGCGAAAACTGATGAAGGGTTTCTAACATCATCATTTTCAGAAAGAATATATGGACTCCAAACCTGCTAGAGATGCAGCAGCAAAGACTAAGTTGGAAGCTGAAGCATCTGCAGAAAATGAATGTCCTGTCCACCTAGACAACGATTGGAATATTAGGTAAATCATTTGACATCAACTTAAATTTATTTTACTTGAGAATACTGATTTATTTGTGTCATAAACAAATGTGTAACAACGTTCGTCAAAGATATGTATATATTACTGAAAAGTACTACTAATATGAATATTACTGATGCGACCTAGTGTTTCATTAGCTACCATTTCAATTGAGTGGGTTATCCATATATAGCTAACTGAGCTAATAACATTGTGGTGGACCAATGGAACACTGTACCCTTGTTCAAAGTTGAAACCGAACACTCATTAGTACCTAAAAGTTTATGGCTAGCCTTGTTCAAAGTTGAAACCTTTGATGCTGGTGCCATTGTAATATTTTGTTTGTCTTGAAACATGCTTGATTCATAAATTTCAGTTTTTTTATTATAATTTTTATTTTTATATGCAGTGTTGTTGATGATGAAGAAACTGGGACATCAAGCATTCGTAACACTCCAGGTAAATGAAATGACATTTTCAGATCAGAACAAAGTATATTTCCTCTTATCAGCCGGACACCTTTTTACACTGAAATTCTACAGATATCCTACCAGAAGGTCTTGTCCGTGAGCTTCCAGATGCTGATTCATATGCAGAACCAGCTGTGCCAGTGAGTTCCAGTGCTATTGATGATGATCTCGAGGAGCTCCAGCGTCAACTTGATGCCCTAAACGCATCTTAGCCTTGATAAGTAAGCTAGCTCATCTGCGTCTCGGTTCTCCCCAATCCCAACTTGGATGGGGAAACATGATTCACATACTGTTGTTTGTGTCGGTTCTAACGGAGTTGGTAAATTCACCGGATATAGCCTTTATTCGTAGCACTGTGGTAAAAGGAAAAAAAAAAAAGAAAAAGCATAGCTATACTGCTTTGGGAGTTTGACTTGCAATTTTGGTTGATTGCTTACAAATGTCTCAATTTTTGTCCACATTGCTTACAAATCAGAGGTCTCATAGCTGTTGGTATTCAAAGGTTTGTCTGGAACCGCCATTTGCTTATTATTCAGAGGTTCCACTACTGCTTCCTGTTAACTCTGATGACAGTTTTTATCTGATTGCGAAGCGTTAAAATTTAATCTCCTGCTTCGTATCTTCTGAGTTGCAATGCTTCCTCTTGACAAGAGTCGGAGATTTCAGAACATATATAATGTAGAACCGAAACCGCTTTGGACGCCATGAGTCGCTGTGACTGTGAGGTGTGTGAATGTCGAGTGGTGCAACTACACCCACGCCGATGAGCTTGTTTAGATAAACACTACTTTTCCAGTATATCGTGACAGTGCAAATTTTTGGCAGATTGGGCCAAAGCTGAAACTCAAGTGAACTGTAATTTGGAACCGAGGGAGTATGTGGATTGGAGCGGAAAATAAACTAATTCTCTGTTAACCTACTACTGTTGTTTATTGTTTATCCAAAGGAAAGGGTAAATGGGGTCAAATGAGTGAGGAATGTAGTTATGGACTATGCTGCCCACGCGGCCACTCCTACCTGACGAATGGGGGTAAGTAACTGATCAAAGGCCGCGAGCGGTGCCTAACCGACGAACGGGGAAGGTGGTTTTGGGTTGCCGACATGTGAAGTGGCGATTTGTTCCCAAATCCCAAGCCGGCCGGTTGCTGGCTGGTTGGAGTAGCGCGCGCAGGCAGGTACGTGTGTGACGAAATAGAGGTATTCCGCAGTAAAGATGCTGACAACTAAGAAGTCAAGCTAGAAATGGATAAATGTTTTCAAAGCAAATAGAAAGTGGAGGACGATCGACTAACATACATGTTAACTAACTAAAGGAAACAACGGATGGGCGAAGGAAATAACATGATGATGAAACCAACTATATATATATGCACCTCGCACCAGATCGATAGGAAAAGTGGTTTCGGTTTAGGCTCGTTTGCCCACACAGAGGCGACGAGACAGCCGAGCAATGCAAGGAAATTGAGTTGGTGCATGCATCAGGGGGATGATGTTGGATGGATCGGTTTCAGCGGCCCTCCTGCTCCTGCACCGGCTTTGCCGGGAAAACGACCGTACGCGTGCATAAAGAGCAACGCGGTGGAGCCATATATGCCACGTACTCGAAAGAGGCCACTTCACCGGACCATATTTGCTCACCCTACCTAAATTCAGTTGACGACGTGTTGTTTAAAAATGGACTGCTTCGGTGGCTTACAAACTTGGAACGAAGATCCTTGGAGGGAAGATCGTTGAAGATCCTTGGATTTTAAATGGATTGTTGAAGCACGTAACATGCAGTTCGGCATACATCATATCACTCATCAGATATTTTCGGTTAACTTATTATTACCTACTACTCCCTTTCGTTCCAAAAAAATTACATATTTACATCTGGTTATTAAACTCCACGTATTTTAGATTTCACTATTTGTAGAAAATAGTATGAACAATTATAGTTTCAAATAGATATACAGTAAAATACATTTCATGGGATCTAATGACACTTATTTAATCGCTACCATAAATATTTTGTATTGAGTTTTGCTCCAATGGTCCTTTCCATGGAAACTGCACATATCTTAAAGCATCTAAGTAATTATTTTAATTAATTACGTCCTGATAATTATTTGGCCCGGCCCTACCCTTCCATAGATCGTGGCCCGCGCATGCCCACAGGATCGACCAGCACGCGCGGACATGTTCGTGTGAACTATTCCGGCCTCGCCGTCGTCGGTGAGCGTCAGGTACGCCCAGAGGGAGGCAGAGCTTCGCCTGTACGTAGTAGTGGAGCTCGACGTCCTTCCTGTTCGCATCCTACTCCAAGCGCCTCATGGGTCATGGCGTCCATCCAGATAGTTCCTGTCGCTCGGTGCGCCGGCAATGGCCGTGACCCTATCGGTCCTTGCAGGAGGACCTCGTCCAGGATCAGCGGCAAGTTGATTCCAAGCGTCTTCTATACATGCTTACAGCTACACAGGGCCCCAAGAACCGAACGCGTGCTCGCCGGCCGGTGCCGTCGTCGTTGGTGGGTTGGGTCGCAACAACCTCGCACGTCCAAGCTGGCGATCGGCCTACTGACCTACATCAACGCCCAGCTCATTGGCATGCTGGCCATACACTGTCGTCTCATATGCTCCAACCAGGCAACCAGGGAACGCGTGCCATTCGTGTGGTGTTTCATCGAGCATCCTGAGGAAGGCCGGGGATGATTGCGCCGCGGCCATGCGTGAGTCAAAATAAAAACTTGCCGACCCGTGCCTATCGGATCGGAGGATGAGATCCAAAATAATTGATGGGCATGGGCTGGGCTTGGCCTGAGTCGAGGAGGATAATACCCATCTCAGAATTAATTAAACTATAATTACTTGGATGCTTCAAGATTCGTGAAGTTTTTATGGAAAGGACCACCGGAGCAAAACTCGTATTGAGTTTTTTTTTGTAAAGATTTGGTCAAGATAAAGATGGTTTGACTTAGTACTCTATCTACAAGTGCTTTCTTTTGGGGATAGAGAGAGTATATATATGCAAAACTATAGGATCATTAGTACACAGTTCAAAGACTTTTCTCTTATTTTGTAGATAGTGCAATTTCAAAGTTCCCAAGAAAACCAACATCCAGAATTCTAGGAAAACAAATTATAAAACCTTTCGCAAAGCAACAATAATCCATTTGAATCACTGTGAGTTTTGGCTCCTTCACTGAAGAATTGTATTAGTACTTCCTCCCAACAGACTTCTAATAAGCGTGTGGTTTATAATTTATTGGAGTTTGATACTATAGAACCAAATATACATGTGGTTTCAGTGAATTTTGTTTTCCCTTTCAGTGCAATAAACCTATTTGACTGGAATATGTGGCGGCACTTGATCCAACACATTGCTCTTGATATTCATCCGAATTTCCCTTTCCCATGAAAATAACACTAACACATCACTATGCATGTACAAATCTAAACTCTACAATGCCAAGTATTTCGTATCAGAATCGAACAGAATATTTAGAGGACTACATTAGGGTATTCCTAGCATTGGTCTGGAAACTTTTAAGATTGTAAATGCAAAGAGAATGTTTAAGAAGGCACCCAATAATAATTGGGCGGTGTGGCACATCATTATTCATTAACAATAAAGCACTGATTAGGCATCCAGTACAAGCATCTGCATCTCCTTCTCTCTCTAGCTCTTCTTTAAAAATGAGGCTAGACAATTTGGCAGGTTTCATATTCGTGCAGGCACCTGCCAAGAGCGCCTATGCTCCTACCTAGAGAACATGTCAAGGCCTGAAATGGGACGTTTCCGGCCGGCTTCTCTCCTCGCCCTCGTCCTTCACCTAAGTTTCGCTTATATTTTAATTAAATAGGTTTTCAAGTATATATTCCAGGAGAAACAAAGAATAGAGAAGCTATTTGACCAGCAGTACTGTCAGTATCATGCATAGCAGAACAAGTCAAATGAAAAACAACTGTCTAGATTATGTTAATCGAAAATCAACTAGTCGAGCAAAGTCAAACTGAGGCAGACACAATTTATTTTTTTGAAAACAATTTGTCTCATCGTTGTTTGATCCTGACAGGAGACAGCAAATGATGGATATACGGATCCAAGTCAATCAAGCACGTGGTCAATTCAATTTCCGGTGGGCTTTACCATGTCCACCGTCGATCTCAGCTACACTCAGACTCAGCTGGCTGCTTCCATCCAGCAGCTACCTTCTGACCAAGGCAACTACTATCCTGCGCTATTTCTGTTCCTTTTTTAATAAAAAATTAAAACTATGCTTAGCCATTATTTCTTGATCCAAACTAAAATTGACATAAAATTTAAACAACGCGTTTGGATTGAGACGAGCGATAAGCTGCGTGATGACGACACATTATATTTTAATGGCTAGCACAACCACCGGATCAGTCTATGATAGCAGTCGGTACAAATCTAGCTACTAGATCCTATCTCCGTCTACTAAAAATACTCCATCCGTTCTAAACTGTAAGCTGTCTTGAGTTTTCTGTATATATAGCTAGGTTTTGCTGAGTATTTAGAAATAACAGGTATATATCTAGATGCTTAGCAAATATCTAGCTAGTTTTCTATATATATAGCTAGGTTTTATTGAGTATATATATAGAAATCAAAATGACTTATAATCTGAAAAAGAAATACTAGTTGTCAAAAAATAAAAAAAAAATGCTTAACCTAGCCTTGTTATAAAAAGAATGCTTAAACGGCTGACTTTGAATTCATGGATCGACCATTGACCAGTAAATTAATTTTACCACAAATTACGGTGGCATTGTTCATCAATTAATAATAACCACCATAATAAGGAAATTGTGTTGAGTTAAATCTTACCTTATATTTTTATAATGAGGGAGTAAGCATGTGTTATACTCCCTCCGTTCTGAAATATAAGGGGTGTTTGAGACTGCTCCGCTCCATGTTTTCAGCTCCGCTCCATGTTTTTTAGCCAAACGGTTTTAGCTCCACGCACTCTGTTAGAGAAAAAATGGTGGAGTTGTGAGAGCACTCCACAAACTTCAATTTTTTGTGGAGCTGCTTCACGGTGGAGTTTATGGAGCAGTCCCAAACACCCCCCATAAGATATCAAATAATTTTAAGACATTATATGGAAGGACAAATGATGTATACAACCTCTTCCGATTACTATATTTGGGTTGGTGATAGATATTAATGGTAGGTATACCCGTGGCCATTATCTTTTGGAGTGTTTATT